CAAAATCAACAAAAGAGCAACATCAATCATAACTCCAAGGTTTCTGGCTGTTTTTGAAGGAGTTATGTACATATTATGATTTAATAATAACCTAATTTGAAACAAAAACAGAATGTTCTGACTAGCTTTGTGAAATTATACTACATGCCTGAATGAAACAAACAGCAGACGGGCTGAATGAGATGCAGATTCACTCTCTGACAGCAGGAGGCACTTATGGAATAGCAGTGATACAGTGTTTCCTTGATTAACGCTGTAAACAAAGCAGCACTGAGCTGAAACATTTACATTTACATTTAGTCATTTAGCAGATGCTTTTATCCAAAGCGACTTAAAATGAGGACAATGGCAGCAATCAAAATCAACAAAAGAGCAATGATATGCAAGTGCTATAACAAGTCTCCGTTAGCTTAACGCAGTACACATAACAAGTTTTTTAAATTATATAATTGTAAGAATTAGTTCACGTTCAAAGGGAATCTAATCTAAAGATTCAGAATCAACTTGATTAAAACTGATTCAAAATTGATAGTTTAAACTTTATCAACTATTCGTCCAGTGAAATGTTAAAATCAGTATATCTTATCAATTTTGATATTTATATTATTCCCTAGGCCAAAGGTCATAATGCATCCTAGCAACATTTTTTTCCTATGAGGTAGGTAACGAGATCTACACAACACCAGACACTGCTTCTTTATAATGAAACAAGAAGTTTATTTGCTACTCTAAGAATACATGAACTAAAACTACTGAAAAGCACACACACATACAGTTCAGAGGATGAGAGTTACTGAGTTTGAAGGAGATGAGATGGAATAGGATCAAGCGGACAAGTAGTAGGATGATTAGAAAGGATGAGTTTGGAGACTTCTGCCTCAGAGAGTGAAGAGAAGGATGTGAACTGGTAAGGTATGTTTGCTTGTCAGATTGTGGTGTGGAAAATTGTGCACTGATGGTTTTAATGTAATTAATGAAGAACGTGGCAAAGACGTCAGCTGTTAGAGTTGATGAAGTAGGGCGAGGAGGAGGACAAAGGAGCGAGGAAAATGTTTTTTAGAGCATGTGAGAGTTAGACGAATTGTTAATTTTGTTATGATAGTATGTCCTTTTAGCAGTGGAGACATTAGCAGAGAAGGAAGAGAGGAGGGACTGATACATATTAAGGTCAGTAGGATTTTTTGATTTGCGCCACACCCTTTGAGCAGCCCTGAGCTTAGAACGATGTTCGCAGAGAACATCAGACAGCCAAGGGGTGGTACAAGATGGCCTGGAAGACAAAGGGGCAGACAGTGTCTAAACAAGATGTAAAAGTGGAGCAGAAAGTACAAGTAGCACTGTTAGCATCAAGAGATGCTAACTGTTTAGGGAGAGGAAGTGAAGATGAAACCATAGCAGATAGCTGGAAGGGTGAGAGTTGAGCGTAGGTTACGTCGATAGATGACATGTGGAGGGGTATGTGTTATGTCAGGAACCATGTTGGGGTTAAGAGGGAGGAGGAAGTGATTCGAGGTGTGCAGTGGAGTAACCAGCACACGATCAGTGGAGCAGTGTCGTGTGTAAATAAGGTCCAGTTGGTTGCCTGATTTGTGAGTAGCCATAGTTAACACTCTCTTGAGATCAAAAGAGGCAAGCAGAGTGTGGAAGTCTGCAGCCTGAGTTTTATCTAGGTGGATGTTGAAGTCTCCAAGCATAACTAGGGGAGTACCATCCTCAGGAAAGGTGGAGAGCAGCACATCTAATTCATCCAAGAAGTTACCTTGTGGTCCTGGGGGTCGATAAACAACTACAAAATGGATTTTAAAAGGGTGAGTAATGGTGACTGAATGTGATTCAAAGGAGCTGTTAATACCCAGAGAAGGTAAATTAATAAATTTCCAATCATTAGAGATAAGCAGACCAGTAGCTCCACCTCTTCCAATCAGACGGGGAGTGTGGGAAAATGAGAAATTGTTGGAGAGTGCTGCAGGTGTAGCAGTGTCCTCTGGTTTAAATCCAGGTCTCTGTCAGGGCCATGAGGTTTAGTCTTAAATGACTAGCAATAGATGTAATGAAATCTGCTTTTTTTACTGCAGACTGGCAATTCCAGAGACCAATAGAAAAAGAAAGTTGTGTATTAGCAGACATAGGCAAAGAGCGCAGGTTGTTAGGATTGCACTGTCTACAGTGTGTGATGTGTGGTTTGGGAGTGGTAGTGATAGTAGGGATCTGGAAACACATTGCAAGAATTGGTTATAAAAACTGAAAACAGAAGTGAAACGAGTAGAAAAGAGAATGAATCAAAAGCAATACTTATATCCCTTGCCGGTGTCCCTGCACGGTGGAGTCGCACAGTGCAGTAACACGGTAGAGTCGATGTTCTTTACACTCTTCGGTCTTCACACGAGGGCTGCCGCAGAATACTACGCTTTTTTATACCCATTTCACAAAACAGAAAGTGAATACACACTTTACTGTTTATCACAACAAAGGGCTAAGCAAGCGCATGATATTGACAAGGTATGCGATAAAGTACGAGACCAAACGCAACTTACACGGTTAACAAAACAAGTGTTTCCTAGCAACGATAACTGCGCTAAACACTAATGAGATAAGAAATAAATACACTTAATATCTGCTTTTAACTTCCGCTGATTGACTGCTTCTCTCAAAGAGTATTTCTTTACGCTGTCTTTTGCTAGTGCTTGAACACACTTTACTGTTTATCACAACAAAGGGATAAGCAAGCGCACAACACTGACAAGGTATGCAATAGAGCACAAGACCAAACGCAACTTCAGCATGTCTCAACAGTAAACAAAACACTGCTTTAATATGAATTATACAGAGACGAGATGAAAAGAAAATACCACCTAAACTTTCTTTAGTTTTTCTTCCAATAGTTCGAGAATCATCAACAGTGAGTGATCTGCCTGCTACAGTATTTTTCTCTTTGTGTCCGTCTTCAGCGTCTCTGGCCTCTGTTAACAGGTGTTTACAGACTTCATATTTTTACATAAATTACATTTTGGAAAATTATTGCATTGCAACGCATTTTGTGCAAGTCCAGAACAGAGACGAGCTGCAATAAGACAAAAAAACGGCCGGTTGCCTATCGCATAATTTCCAGGGGAATCTCCTTCGGCCATCCTACACACACGTGACTGCTCGCACCAACAGGAGGGGGAGGGGTCGTGTTACTCTCTACACTGCTGCACTCAACCTGAGAGATTCCTACACTTTCAATCTTTGAGGAGACATGATCTCTTAATGGTAATTTACTGGTAATTTATCAGTTTATCATTAAAGTCTGTATGTGTGAAAGGGCTATTGACGAGTGCTGTTAGCCCACTGAGGCAAACCAGCCAAAATGTTACTGGCACACACATCTGTAGACTAGTGCAGGTTAATTATCACACTTTAATAGTATTTATAGCTCCTAACATGCTGTGTGACTATGAGAACTGATTACCTCAAAATGTACATAGGTAGGCAATTATTGCTCACGTACATGCCAGTGATTAGCCCTCTGCGTGCCAATGTTAGGGTTAGGTTGCCGACCCCTGCATTACAGTGTGGTTCCGAATTTTCCCGCTCTTGCAGAGTATATTTCAGTCATGACTTCTATAATGGAAATATGGTACATTTTACCAAATATTGACAGATATTAACATTTGACATATGAATTATCATTCACACACATACAAACCTATAAACTATTCAATAATGGCATTAGTAATATTGGATAAAGCATAATAATCAAATGTGGGATACAGACATGAGAAAGAATTATGCAGTGGAATGATACTTGGTTATACATACTTTTAGCATCATTTTGGAATGATCTTGTGCATTTTTTGATATGCAAAGGCAGTTTCTGTGCCATTCTGAGAGTGGTGAAGAATTCAGTACTGTGAGGAAAAAGTAAAAAGGGAGTCTTGTTTTTAGCTTTCTGTTCTGGGTGGAATATCACCCCCTTTTGTTAGGGTGACATTGGTGTGATGTCAGCTCCTGTGTCCACCGAGGCTTCTAACTTCATGTGATGTTTTAGGATGATGGAGAGATAAAATTATTTTGCCACACGTTTTGTCTGTGAGACTGCCTGAGAACCAGAGCTTGGGTTGTGACTGGTGTCATGACTCGTTTGTTGTTTCTCCAAAGGAGTGACAGAATACCAAGAAGGCACTTCAGGTAGTTTGTTTTGTTAAATGGTTGACTAGTATAGCTTGTATTAATAAATAGATAAACCTGTTGACCTAAAGAGAGAGGAATGGTCAGACATATCATTAAGATCCCCTTGGCAGTTATTAATTTTTAATAAAGCTATTAACCTTGAAAGTGTGCAAATGCATTGTAAGTTTATTTTCTCCAGAATGAAAGTTGTGTGAGAATGAAATGGGAATAAAAACACAAATATAATGCACAATAAATGTATTAATGTTAAAATGTAAATAATTTGGTAACACTTTACTTGAAGGGCTGTGCATAAGACTGACATGACACCTTCATAATCATGACATGACACATGTAATGAATATGAGGGAGGTTTTATGCATGTTTATGACAACTGTCATTTGCTCAGTTATGTCATTTTTAATGCAAATATGAAATTATTTGACCTAACCCTAACCTAACCCTACCCCTACCCTTACCCCTAACCATAGCCCATAACAAAGACATCTCAAACAATGTCATCCTTGCATTAAAAATTACATAACTGATTGAATGACACTTAATGACAGTTGTCATAAACATGCATAAAACATGCATAAAAAAACCTTCATATTCATGACATGTGTCATGTCATGATTATGTATGTAGGTGTCATGTCATGATTTATTCAAGTAAAGTGTAACCAATAATTTTTCTTTATATAGAAAACTTCTGGCATGAAGGGGTATTTAAAGCTGTGTAAAGAACCCTAGAGTTCTATAAATAACGGCAATGACAAGAGCAGGTAGCATAGGTTGATTGAATGGATGGATCAGAATAGAGGGTTCATGTATGTGTTTTTCCTGCAGGTGACAAGTGATCTGTTTGATATCATGTCTGGTCAGACAGACATTGATCACCCACTGTGTGAGGAGTGCACGGACACACTACTGGACCATCTGGACACACAGCTCAGCATGACAGAAAATGAGTGCCAGAATTACAAGTTAGTATCACTCACACTCAAAGCATCTCAAGTTAACCTACAGCTGCTTTGCTTTATTATTCTGTAAGTGGGATGTGTAATTTGCCTGGTTTAAAGGGTTTGTATCATTATTTTTGTCATTAAACATTTTTAGTCAATACATGACTGACATCATTGACTCCAGCGGGTCACTCAATTGGCTGTGAATTTTTAGGAGCTGTTTAGAGTTGCTGTCTCAACTACCAGAGGAGGAGGAAGCCAGTCTACTGAATGCACTGCAGCAGTTGAAACAAGAGGAGGAATCTCTGATCCAGGAGCTGGAGAGCATTGAAGTGCAGCGCGAAGCCGTGGCTAAAGAGCTGGCTGAGGGACGCAACCATAGCCAGCTGATGGACACCGAAGAACTTCAGTACATATGAATGAGAATATTTACTAAGAAATCATATTCTTTCTTTCTTTCTTTCTGCCTTTATTTCACAGTGTCATCTGCATTTTTAAATTATTTTTTAAATTACCATTAGCATCTTGGAAATAGAGCTTACTTGTGTGTTTGCTCTGAGAGCCATTTTATTAGTCTCTTTGAGGTCTTGTTCAGTGGTGACGTGCTGCTCCACCTGGCTCCATAATAGGGGAATCCCTCTTCCCCAGGGTGACACTAACGTGTATAGTATGTGAGAGGCACACAAACACACAGTGATATGTGATGCTCACACATGAGCTGCAGATTTGCTGTTATAATATGTCCTTCAATAACAGCCTCTTTGCAAAACTTGTATGAAAAAAACTTCTCAAACTGTTAAGATCAGACTTATATCAGTGCTAAAAACTGACAGCTTTTGGGGGAAGCTAGCTATATTTAATCTAAAATATGAGGGCTTTCTGGAAAGTATCCAGCCATGTAATATGAAAAATAGAGACATTTATCTAAGATCACCTTTGAACATCACCTTTAAAAGTGAAGAGATTTCAGACCGTCAGTGAGATTCGGGAAAATACGACGAGGCAGCTAATGGCGATTCCAACAAAGGATTTTGCAGAGTGTTTTGAACAGTGGAAGAGATGCTGGGAGAACTGTGTGAGGTCTCAAGGTGCCTACATTGAAGAGGACTGAGGCGTCATTGTCTTGTGTACAATGTTTCTTGTATTTTATATATTTTTTGACAAAAGTCTCTATTTCTGTCATGAAAACTCTCGGAGGGATTGGCATGGTAATGTATATGATATGTTAATGTATTTGGTCTTGATAAGTACCGAGACTTGCTACTGCCAATACATCCACAACATGCTGCCGTAAGCATGTAAGAAATACTGCTGCTGCACATATAACACATATGAATAACCCTCATATAGCATACATAAATCACCCCATAGCAGATCTATACAGGTGGAGCTGGGGAAAGTGGAGGTTTTCTGAAGTGCGCTGCCAACTGCTACAGCAAACAAAAGCCAGGTTTTTGAATATTGAGCAGCGTGCTTATTGGCTACCGATACAGGAGAGAACCAATCAGCTGCCATGTGACTGATGTCACCAGGTCAGATTGAGCTAGACCTATTGGACTGCGCCATCTAGAGTTTCATGCCAGGACTCTGTATGTATCATATTAAATGGCTGGATACTTTTCTGACAGCCCTCGTATGTCATACATGATTTTCAGTTATAGTTGTGGTAGTAGCATTTTTATAGTGCATTGAACATGTTTTTCTTTAAAGATTAAGGAAAAATTGATTCCTCATGATGACACTTTTGATTTTTAATTTTTTTTTGTCAGTTTCCAGGTAACTGGCCTCATCTCTGTATGTTTCTGTCTCAGGTATCAGAAGGAGTACTGTGAGTTTAAGAGACAGCAGCTGGAGTTGGATGATGATCTTAAGAGTGTGGACAATCAAATGCGTTACTGTCAGATTCAGCTGGACAGACTCAAGAAGACCAACGTTTTCAATGCCACCTTTCATATCTGGTATCATATCTCTTTATAAAAACTTGTTTTATTTGGTGTTTTAGGACCACCATTAAAAAAGAAATATGTGCATATTGAATAAGATGATTAGAATTGTGTAATCTCTAAAATCAGATTTTGCTTATGATGTAGAATTGTGTATATATATATATATATATATATACATTTTTTAATTTTTCTTTTTTTTGCTACCTTTTTCTCAGGCACAGTGGGCAGTTCGGAACAATAAATAACTTCCGCCTAGGCAGATTACCCAGTGTACCAGTGGAATGGAATGAGATCAATGCAGCCTGGGGTCAAACTGTACTTCTGCTGCATGCACTTGCAAACAAGATGGGACTATGCTTTCAGAGGTGGCTGGATAAGGAAAATATATTTACAACTAGATAGATAGAGCTTGTAGACAAACTTTGATGCCTTGTCTGAAAGTACAAGATTAAGCGATGAAACTGCATTAGACCTCAGCAGACCTTTAAGAAACCTCTTCAGACACAATTAGACCTGATCAGACCCCAATAAACCTCATTAGACCAAGTCAGGCTACTTCAGACCTCATCAGAACCCTAATGAACCACAACTTACTTCCTTAGACAATTTATAAATTTTAAATTTGACCAAGTTGCATCTGTAATGTATCTCAATCCACCTCCTGAAGTGATCTGATTATTCTCAAATGCGTTTCAGAGGGCATTGTAGGCGACTATCTTGAAAACCAATAATTTTGCCGCCGAGAGGCTGAGTAGAAGAAAACTAACTTGTCAGACGCTTGCTGATAATGATCATACAGTAGATCCAAAGACTGCATTCTGTAGATTTATTTCCATGAGAAACAAACAAGGTTGTGCATCCAATACATTCCATAATTATTTTACTGGCATACAAAATGGTGTCCAAATGTCATGATAAATGACATTAAACAGCATTAGAAGCCTTTTAGCGGTCAGCAAAAATAAGACTTCCCCCCTCACCCCCTCTCACCATACCCCAAACACACAGGTGAACAGATTATATATTCTTACTACTTCCGCCACCACCAGGTACCACAATTAATGCAAAAAATGTGCTCAAAATAATAGAACTATACCTGGTTTTTACATTCCGGCCCCTAATTATTACAGTTAATATTTACATATACATTACACATGCAGGGGAATACAATTTTTTTTTATAGTCCATCATAAAAAAGATGATTCAATCTTCTGTTTTCTCTTTAAAGAAAAAAGTCAAAAAATAGTTCAGTCGATTCAGTCAAAAGTCATATTATCCAAGTACCGCAATCAGGATTCAGCTGACTCCTGCAGAAGGCAGATCTTGGTTACAGGCCTGCATATACGGTTGGTTTAGGTCTTGATCCAGACTTGTCTCACGAGTCCTTTTCTGTCTGGAACCACTTTGGTTATTTTTCCATTGATCCAGGAGTTGCGGGGCACAGAATCATCCACTACCAGTATGATGTCTCCAGGAATTAAATTCTGCTTGATCTTTGTCCATTTCTCTCGTTTCTGCAATTGTGGTAAGTACTCCTTAGTCCACCTTTTCCAAAATAAGTCAGCCATGTATTGGACTTGCTTCCATCTTCCGTGCATACATGTCCTCTTTCTGAAACAGCCCAGGAGGTAAACATGGTTTAGTTTTAAGAAGTAGAAGGTGATTTTGTGTTAATGCTTCCAAGTCGTTTGGATCTGTGGATTCATTGGTGATGGGTCTACTGTCGAGAATTGATTCCACTTCACAGTGCACTGTGTAGAGTGCTTCCTCGTCCAGACTTTGTGTCCTCAAAGTAGAATTAAGGACCTTTCTGACAGAACGAATCAACCTTCCCCATGCTCCTCCATCTGTTGTTGACCTGCAGCTCCATGTAGCTGCCGACACACCACACATCTAGCCAAGTTCTTCCTTATAGAACCACTAACACCAGGGATCCAGTATCTCTGGCGTAATCTTGATAACATATGATTTCTAACTCCATGGCCAACCTCTCGATGAATATGTTGTAGGATGAGGTCAGCAATATGAAGGTCTTTAGGTAATATGGCAGGATGTTTTAACTCTTCAGGCATGGCAGCCTTACTTAGCCGTCCTCCAACTCTTAACACACCATCTTCCAGTATTGGATTGAGCTTATATATGTGGCTGTTTCTTTTCACACCTTCTCCCTTTTGGTGGCAGGAGAACTTTTCTGAGAACCTTCTTCTCTGACAGAACATGATTACTTCAATTTCAGCATCTCTGATCTCTCCCAATGAGAGATAACCACCTCAGAGCTTGTTCTTAAAATCACGCATATCCTTGGTGAGAACGTCTTCCTGTTGAGTTACATGAAACACAGACTCATCAAGATGTGCAGTGAACTCCTTAATTTTTCTAAGATTCAAAAACAAAGCCTTGAATCTTAGGATCCAGCCCATCACTCTTATTAGACGTGTCCAGGATGAGGTGCGGTTGATCAGACAAGTCACGGCATAATTTTCATCCCTTATTGCAGAAATTCCAATTGCAGCTGATACCTTGACCTCGGGGTCGCCAGATTGAAGTTGTTGCAATGCATCTGGGTTAACAGGCCAGTTTTCTTCTGATTGCAAGAGAAATGAGGGACCAGATATCCAAATTTTGTTATTTAGGAATGACTCTGCCTTCACACCTCTGGAGGCAAGGTCTGCAGGATTGTATGCAGTGTTCACAAATCTCCATTGAGATGCGTCAGAAACCTTGAGAATCTCTGAGACCCTATTTGCCACAAAGATTTGAAATCTTGAAGTCTCATTCTTAATGTATTTTAATGCCGAGGTACTGTCTGTCCAGAAAACAGAGTCTTGAAGCTGTAGTCTTAACTCCTTTCTCCACAGTTTGTCCATACGAGCTGCTACAACAGCAGCTGTTAACTCCATATGTGGAATAATATGAATAAAAGGCATTAAAGGTGCCACCCTAAATCTTCCCATTAAAAAAGCGCTGTGCATCTGAGAGTGTTCATTGCGCAGCATCATATAGGTAACAGTACCATATTCTTCCTCACTTACATCTGCAAAATGATGCAACTGAGCAGTGGTTGCTTCTCCAGAGTTTATAGGTTTTAAACATCGTCTGATGCTGAAACCTTCCAACTGATGTAGCTCCTTCATCCAATCTATCCACTCCTGAGCAACCAATACTGGTATGACATCATCCCATCCTAGCTGATTCTGACACAGATCCTGAAGAATCCATTTAGCTGTAAAAACCACAGGAGCTAGAATCCCCAGAGGGTCATAGAAAGAACTGACAGCTGAAATGAGAGGTCAATGATCTCTCCTGAATGGCTATGCTGAAATTAAAGTTGTCAGACTGGACACATCAATGTGCTCTTTCAACAGGTGATGAGTTATGGTTCAGATCCAGGTCTTTAACTTCCTTTGCTCTCTCCACCTCAGGTATTGAAGCCAACACACTGCGGCTGTTCCTTATCCATTTTGTTAGATGAAAGCTGTCCTTGGCACAGATGGTTTTAAGGTATTTATAGAGGGATATAGCTTCCTGATCTGAGGCTACAGAAGCAAGGCAGTCATCCACATAGAAAAACTGCACATAATGATCTCAAACACTTGCTGGCTGAATAAGTCTTTGTTGTCTTCTGCGCACCTTCGTAGAGCAAAATTAGCACAACTTGGAGAAGACGTTGCCCCAAACAAATGGACAATCATCCTGTACTCCTCCATATACTGAGTGAAGTCTCCACTGGACCACCAAAGAAATCTCAATAGGTCCACATCCTCCTCTGGAACTTGAACTTGATGAAACATCGCCTCAATGTCAGACATCAGAACAACAGGCTCTTTCCTGAACCTGGTCAGGACTCCAGTCAATGTACTAGTCAGATCAGGACCACTCAGGAGTTGTGCATTGAGTGATGCACCTTGAAATGATGCTGCACAATCAAAGACAACTCAGATCTTCCCTTTCTTCGGATGATATACCCCGTGGTGTGGGATATACCAAACCTTTCCTGTCACTGCGTGCCAGATCTGTGGTTGGCACTCTCTCTGCATAGCCACTGGATATAAGGTTATTCATGAAAGCAGTGTAATCCTTATGAAATAATGCATTTCTGATAAACCTTCTCTTCAGGTTAAGGGTGCGTTGTTCTGCAATGTTACGGTTGTTAGGCATACTTATCTTTCTGTTCTTCAAAGGTAAAACAATAATGTAATGGCCATCAACTAATTTCACAGTATTGTTAACCATTTCTAAGAACCTGCAGTCCTCCCTTGAAAGTCCTGGCTTTTCCTCCTGACTGCACTCTGGAAAGTCTGTCTTAAACTGTTGTTCCCAGAGTTCATCAAGTGTTACAGAAGAAATTCTGTTGATGGTAACTGCAGACTGATACACGTCAGGTCCATCACAACATCCTCCACCAAGAGGTCCATTTACCATCCAACCAAGCATTGTCTTGATGGCATACGGCCCTTTATCCACACTCCTAATGACTTCAAGTGGTTGCAAAGCTCTGGGCACGTTCATGCCTATCAGAAGCTCCACATCTGCATCTATCACAGGCAAGTACACGTTTCAAATGAGGCCATTTATGCAGATTTTCCTGTCATGTGAGATTACTCCTATTCACAGGCATCCTACGTTGTGTGAAGATATCGGTCATTTCACAGTACCAGCCACTGTTCAGTCCAGCCACTTCCAAGTCCAACACAATACAACTGTCCACAATTCTCTCTTGGCCCATGGTGCGCAAAATAATTTTTGTTTTTCTCCCAGAGAGATTCAGTCTATCCATCAAACCCATTGTGCAGAAGGATGCTGAACTTCCCTGGTCAAAAAAGCATAGGTCTCCACTATTCTTTGTCCTCTCTTTGATTTTACCTTTACTGGTACGATGGCGAGCTTAAAGTCTTGTTCACCGGCCCCAGTAAGACCACTGGTTTGAACTGTAACTAAAGAACTGCTCACTGCATTCTCTGAGTTGCTCTTACCTTTCTCTACATCTGCTCCCTTATCCTTGTGGTGGATGTGAAGCATACTAGTGTGCCTTAAACCACAAGTTTTGCAAGAGAGACATTTTCTACACTCCTTACTGTTGTGACCAGTACACAGACAGCCAAAACAAACGCCTTTTGTTTTGGCAAAAGTCTTTTTTTAGAAAATCACTCTTCTCACGTTGAGCTCTCTTCTCCAACAGAGTACAAAACTCCAGCATGTGTCCACCTTTGCAGTACAGGCAAGTCTTTTCAGGTAAATTTCCATCTTTAACCTTGTGTTCCGTCAGTGTCTTTTCAGCAGTGGCAAAGCTACTTCCTTTAGCCCTTGAGTGAGGTGATTTTGCCCTGTTGCCTTCTTTAATTGCCACCGACGTTGGTGCATCCTG